GCCATGGACATGGATATCTGTGATGTCAGTGTTAAGCTTATTTTGTAAAATAATAATAATAAAAACAAAAACCTATACATTAGTCATGATCTAAATGCCCTATGATCATCTCATCTGTTTTTTTTAAAAAACAACAACAAAATATCAATTCTATTTTGGTGTTGTCATTCTTTGATGAAATTCAAAACAAACATAGCTTAGGTTTTGTGGAGGCAGAGTGTGTAAATACTTGAACTGAATGAGGAATTGTGGTGGAAAAGATCTTTAGTTACCCATCCTTCTATTGCCCTTGCTGCCACCGCAAATCTATCACTGCAATTCCTTTCCCAACAACACCAAGAGCCTTCAAAACAGGGTTGAATTCTACAATAGGTTTAATTTTTTCCTCATCTGTTACCATGAAAAATTGCATTCACTCAAAAGAATAGCTTGATCTTGCACTAATATGGAAAAAAACCCTTTCCCTTTAGAACAATCAGAGAGTACTCTGCCTAGCATGCTCTGCTTGGAGTGCCCATGGACTGACCCAAAAATTTGGGCTTGACCCAACATCAGTTATTGTTTGTGCTTTCTGCCAATTCTTCCATAGGGAAGTTGGGTTTTGTACTGAATTGTGGAATAGGCTGAAGTAACAAATGTCCTTCATATAACTTCTGCCTGCTGTGAGGTTCAGCTTAATCAGAAAAACCACCCACCTAATTTTCCTCTGAGTCCTAGATGCCTAGTCTCAAGCTTTCTGAAGTTTACAGAGAAGTTTGTGGGACCTCGGGCTGCTGAGAGTGCTTCCCCCATTTTAGGGATATTTCTTTAGTGAGTTGGTTTTTTGAGGATTTACTTTTAAAGCTTACCTAGAAAGAGGAAGCTGCCAGGAAAAGGAACAGCGGGTGGCAAATGAGCCAGTTAGTTATGCTATAGCGTGTGAGAACTACACCCAATGAGGCCCCAAACCCATTTTTGGAGAAGAAAGACTTGTTTCAAAGGGAAGTTCACACTTCCAGGAGTAGTGATTCTAGCATTTCAATACATATTTTGCAGGATTGGCAGGTATGGAAGACGCATGTTACCTGCAGGCCACATGATTTACACGCCTGACTAAGACAGATATTTGACAAGTTGAATTACCCAAGATTTATTTTGACAAATGCCATATCCTAGTATAACCCACACTTTGCACAGCAAGCTGCTGAAAGATACAATCACCCTTAAATATCATGAACCTGATGTGAAACAACCTATTGCTCCCTGAAATGGTAACTTCAGATGGCTTTGTTTATACTCAATAGTATAGCCAGCATTTATAGACAAATTATAGTTCTTATGTTGAGAACATTAGCAAAAAATCAAATAAAGCTTTCCAAATTTCTTAATCTTGGGAATCTACATTTAAGAGCAAAGCAGTATACTATGATCGCTAGCAAGCTGAGCTAATACATACACACCTTTCCTGTTTGATTCCCAAGATACATATTTATTAAAGGTATGTTGTATAAATACCTCAGCTTTAACATGAATGAAACATCATAATTGGGATATCCAAATATGAAAAAATGGTCCGAAACATTTTAATTGACTTATTTATCAATTACTGTGAGAGTGTCTGTACATTTTATTTAAATGCAAACATTATGTTGAGTACGCACACTTTAGTGTCTGCAAATTTATAAACAGATTGGAGTTTAGTGCCAAAAATTGAAGAAAATTTGGAAATGGCATTGCTGTAGTGCTGACAAGTAAAGCCCATGCAATTACGCTGTCAGTGAAATATGGATTGCAAAATAAGAAATAATGACCACTATATAACAGGTGGCTAGTGTTTTTCGGTCTCTGTGCACAAAACTCCATTTCCTGCCCAACATCTTGAAGATATTATAAACCAAAGAACATAAATAAAAAATAAAAATAAAAATCAATGCACCAAAAGGTGTGATGGGCTCAATATAAATCTCTGCTGGAAAATTTCCTCATTTTTGATGGGTTAGGTCTCTCTAATAGCCACCAAGCTCCTGCTCTGTCAAGATTTAATTCCCCCAGGAAGCAATTTCTGTAACTAATTACATATTTTGTGGTGGGTCTTTAAGCAAAACCAGAATAGAATATAATACTGACTGCTTCTAGCAGCACAGTTGTGTCATTTTGTATATTTCCTTATCCAAGTTTAGATAGCAAGTGCCATATCCAATGGTTTTCTTTTGCCCATAGAAAGCCCTTTGATCCATAAGAGCTTTCCATTAATGGAAGTAATGTATTCTTTTCCTAATTGCTTGGGACAAGAGTTTTGAAAATGTAGGTCCTCACAAAAGTTCAATGACTGTAGAAAATCTTAGAACATGCTCTGTTTGGCCTCATGATTGATCTATACGATATTAAGAGAGCATTCTAGAACATGAAAAGTAAAGACCAAGGGGGAAAAAAACAGGATAAAATTGGGACCCCCCCTTGGTTTTTCCTATCTGTCACCACAAACTTTATTTCTTGGGGAAAAAAATGAGAAGTTGGATTATAGAATATTTTGTTTTTAGAATGGTGAATAAAACATTATAAACAAGTTGCTTATATATTTACTCCCTGCAAATTATTTCTAAAACTATGTAACAGGGACACGTTTATGTAACAAGGTACAGTATCTGTTCATTGCAATTCTTGGCCTTGGTTTCCTTTCTAAGTATCTTTTTGGGGGAATTCATGTTTTATGTCTTCTTGGCACTGTGGAGAACCAGAGGAGTGTGGTTTTATCCTCCATTATTAATGTTGATTTTTGGGGTCTGCTTTAATAAAATAACAGAACCAAAAGGTTCCTTACAGTTCTGGTCCTTGCAGCTCCATTTCTAATAACAAATACATATTTTTTTAAATAAAACCATTTGCAATGTGTAATTATTACTTATAGTATATTTTTACTATACCAAGTATTATAATTTTATGCTAAGCAAAACTGTTTAATTGTATTATATTATGCACACAATACATCCTATGTTCCCTTATCTGTGAGGAACGTATGTTCAGTTGTTGACATGCCTTGATCTATCTGTCTGTCTATTAAAAGTCAGTTTGTATGTATCTATGTTTGTTTGTAAGTATTTTCCAAGATGACCCCCACTTCCAGAGAGCACTGTATCTCTCCCCAAAAACAGATTTAGAACAAACTTGGTACACAGACTGGATTGATTGGGGGGGGGGGGGGGGGGTTGACTCTGGATACGGTGACTTTTATAGTTGACCCACATCTAGAGAGCACTGTGAAACCAAATGACAATGGCACGCTCAACCAACATGGCCAACTTTGAATACTAGTGGGGTTTGATGAGAATTGACCCATGATGTTGGGAGTCTTATGCATTTTCTAATGGGGGCATTTAAAAAAAAAAACCGTGAACACAGGGATCGCTAGTAGAATATACAAGTTCCCTTCAAACTCTTTAAAGGTCCAATCTCTCCCTTCCCCACTCACACACTCTTTAAAACGGTTGCATAAAATCAACTTTTTTAAACAAAATAAGATGGTGACAATTTTTAACAAATTTTACATATTTTAAAAAATTATTTATAAATAGGCATCATACAAATTTGATGTAAAGTATTTTATCTTTTTATACAAAATCTTTATAATTTGTTTAAATAAAATTTGATTTTTTTTGTTTTCAGCATTTGTTTATACCTATTTATTTATTTACAGTATTTATATTCTGCCCTTCTCGTCCTGAAAGGGACTCAGGGAGGATCACAATGCACACATACACAGCAAACATTCAATGCCATTTTAGACATACAAGTCAGTCAGACAGTCAGTCAGTCAGTCAGTCAGACAGACAGACTTCCATTCAAGGCGAAGCTGACAAATGGTTCCAATCCATAATATTTTTTAAATTGTTTTTAAATTGTTGTAAATTGTTTTTAAATTGTGTTCGATTTTAGCCTGTTCTTGTAAGCCGCTCCGAGCCCCAGGGGAGTGGCAGCATATAAGTTTGAATAATAAATAAATAAATAAATAAATAATATACATGGTAGGTAGCCTCCTTGTCATTCCAAGTCATTTGCTGCTTCCCCGTTTTTACAAGCAGCTTTTAAACTCCAGAAGAACTCAGAAAGGGTGGTAATGAAGCCTTACTGTGCACACATCTCTCCAAATGACTATCTGGATCAAGGATTATGTCAACACTTCCTCTCTCTTTGATGATCTGGAACAAAGCTATATATAGATCCACTTCAATGCCTAGCCTAGAACTGACATTTTTGTAAGGAATTGCCAATGATAAATTTGTAACTGCTAAAAAAGGAAGTGCTAACTTTTGTGTGCTGGTATTCTTGAGAGAAAGACGAACACCACTTTTTTGCCACCTTAAGCTTTCACATCCAAGGTCTCTGGGTTTCCCTTTTAACTTTAAAATTACAATGGATCCTATAAATATCTTATAAACTCTAAATCTATCACTGAGGCTATTGCCCCCACCACAAAGACAGGATGAGATTTTCATTTTCTCCTCTTTGCTAACACCAAGGACATTTACAGTTATGGGGGAAGGTATCTCTCTTCTAACATTGGTCATGCCTTGAATCCTGTAAGAACCTTAAACCTAATTTTTTAAAAGGCGAATTCTGTTTCTCTAGTTCCTGTAACTAAGGTGGACAGACACATGCATACTCTAGTGTTTTCCTATCTCTCTGCAACCATTTTCGCCTCAATCTTACTAATTTTTTCTTGTGACAGCAGTCCCTTTGAAGAAGCTTTTTTCTCCTGAGAAAGCATCCAAGAAGAGAGATTGCCAGTTCTAGATGAATGGTGAAGCCATTAAAAACAGCAATTTTTTTAAAATTAGGATTCTCCCTTCTCCACTATAGTTCACCAAGCAAGAGAAAGGACACAACCACTGTTTACAGACAACGAATTCTGAAATTAGGACGTTTGCATTAGTTAAATTTGTTGGCATTCTTAACCTATTCTTGAATTAACAGTTTTCTATGAAAGATATTTTTGATACACAAAAAGGCAGCTATCTACTTACGGCAAGGAGTATTTCGATAGCTCACAATTTCCGGAAATGTCATGAAAGCAGACATCATTGGCTGGTCATTTTGTTTTAGTTCTTCCTCAGCCATCTGGTCAGCCCAAACTACAGCTTTCTCTCTGTGAATTAGCTGTTCACATTCCCTGAAGTCATCCTCAATGACACCATTTGCTAATCCGGCATTTTTCAAAGCAACATACTGCTTTCTTAGAACTGGCAGTGCAGTACTTAGTATTCTAGAGGAGGAAAAAAGAAAAAGAAACAGTGGTATAGTTATAAACTTAAGAGAACATTGTTCGCAGCTTGGGAGTGATCCTGGACTCATCGCAGGTTCGCAGCTTGAGAGTGATCCTGGACTCATTGCTGAGCCTGGAACCCCAGGTCTCAGCGGTGGCCGGGAGAGCTTTTGCACAGTTAAAACTTGTGCGCCAGCTGCGCCCGTACCTTGGGAAATCTGATCTGGCCACAGTGGTCCACGCACTTGTTGCATCCCGAATAGATTACTGTAACGCGCTCTACGTGGGGTTGCCTTTGAAGACTGTTCAGAAACTTCAACTAGTCCAGCAAGCGGCAGCTAGACTTCTCACTGGAGCACCATACAGAGAGCATACCACCCCTCTGTTATGTCAGCTCCACTGGCTGCCAATTCAGTTCTGAGCACAATTCAAAGTGCTGGTTTTGACCTTTAAAACCCTCTACGGCACCGGCCCAGTGTACTTGTCCGAACGTATCTCCCTCTATGTACCACCACGGAGTTTAAGATCTTCTGGGGAGGCCCTGCTCTCGGCCCCACCGTTATCACAAGTGAGGCTGGTGGGGACGAGAGACAGGGCCTTCTCAGTGGTGGCCCCTCGCCTGTGGAATTCACTCCCCGGGGAAATTAGGTTGTCAACATCCCTCCTCTCCTTCAGGAGAAAGCTGAAGACATGGATATGGGACCAGGCATTTGGATAGTCTGGCAGGGTAACAAGGTAATGATGACTAGAGTTGGAAAGGTCTATGGCAATGCTAAACGGATTGACGGATTTTAGAACACGATGAACACTGGCTACAGAGCGGTTTTAGTTGATATTGTATTGTTTTATATTGTACTGTATTAATTGTCTGTTTTTAATCTATGGTGTGATTGCTATTGCATTTTATTGTAATTGTGGACATCGAATTGTGCCGGATGTAAGCCGCCTTGAGTCCCCCCTAGGGCGTGAGAAAGGCGGGGTAGAAATGACCGAAATAAATAATAAATAAATAATTGTGTCGTGGTGTCATACAAATTTATTTAAGTAACAAGCATATAAGTATGAACACATATACACTCTCTGCCTAGAAAACTTACACAAGTTGTAATATCAGGAATATTAGGCAAAGGCTAAAAGTCATGATGACTATGTATTACTTCTGAAATTTATGATAGCTTATGTTACTCTTAATTGTTATTTGCTGGAAAATAGCAGAAAGAAAGGTAAAGTGATTGGTCATTTGTGAATTTAAAAGTTACAGGAGTTACAGAGATATTTTGAAAGGAGTAGAATTGTCTTCTTTGTGGAATAAATGAGTAGAAAAACAAACACTGCCTTTGAGATTTCACACTCATAAAGACAATAGTTCATCATATTACCATTTTCATAAATGATTAAAATAACTACAGCTCATATGTACATCTATAAAGTTTTAAAAAAAGAAAATAATCAAATATGAGATTTCAAAATAGACTTACTTTTCTGTCTGTTTATATTGCTGTTCTTGTATGGATGCTAGAGTCCTCACGTAGTCAATCTGAGTTTTCAGGTCTTTAACTTCTAACTTCAAATGGTGGCAATGCAGATCTTTCGAAAGCTCCTTCAAGAGAGAGTCAAATTTATATCAGACATATAGAGCCAAACCCACAAATAAGAATCCTATTACTCCAGGAACAAACATACTTGTTTAAAGAAATAACCACAACCCAACCGACTACAAAGGAGTTAACTGCATTTTCAGGGCTAGTCCAAATAGGCCTAAACCTCTCTCTCTATAATGAATGTTAAGCATTTGAAATCTTCCCCACAAACACAGTGAGGAGAAAGACAGCAACTTAAAAAAGTATCAGTGTCAGAGCACAATAAAGAACAATGGCTCTTCAGCAACTTTTGCTCTATGTTAACACTGAATGTATTTCTCAGTGACAAAATGAAAAGATGCAGTTTACTTGAGGAATATGGCCATCGTGATCCAAGAGGCGCATTTCATTTTCCACTCTGTGCAACCAACACATGTTGTCCTCGAAGCATTTAATCGCCACCTCTTTTTTCTTCTCCATATGTAAGCGACGGGTTTTGAGCAACGTAATCCTGTGATCATGTTTCCCTGTTGCCTATAAAGACATTTCTTTATTAAAATTTACAGTCAAGTACAGTACTAGCTACTTTGGCAAATGTGTGGCTACTACTTGAACCACATTGTGTGTGGAAAGCTTTGCAATAACAATAACCTGTGTTTAAAACTCAGGAATAAAAATGCTATTAATAAATAGGTTCAAGGTTAGGAAGAGAAAAATGCTTACAAACTTCAACACACACTTATAAGGATAAGAACTGATGATTCATTTCTCATTTTCTGCAGTTATTAGAAAGCTATTATGAAATCGTGGAATGCTGTACTTTCTGAGTGAACGAATCAGTCATAGAACATTCGACAGTGAAGAGTAGCGAAAGGTCTGTTTGGCTGAGGGACATCTTACACAGGCCTTAAGAGGCAGAAATCGTCATGCTGATACATAACAATAAAGATAGAACCGGACAAAAGAGGCAGCAAGTTCTTGTAGCCAGATGGCTAAAGGGATAAGGAACAAGGCTCACAGAGAGCTGAGAAGCAGGATTTAAAGGAAAGGTGATGAGAGATGACAGGCAGCCTAATTGAGGACTTGGTGACAGGACTGTGAGACTAGAATTCCCTTTGCCAAAGAGATGGATTTTGCTTTGACACAATATAAACTGGATAGAGAAGGGATTCCAGCAAGATGCCTTCACACATTAAAAGCACATATGAAGGTTTCATCAAGGATTTTCATGCCTGCCACTATGTATGCTGATACAGTAGTCTCGCTTATCCAACCTTATAAAACATGATGTTGGGGAAAATGCTGGGGAAAATGGAAGGAAAAAGGAAGAGGGGCAGACCAAGGGCAAGATGGATGGATGGCATCATTGAAGTGACTGGATTGACCTTGAAGGAGCTGGGGGCGGTGATGGCCGACAGGGAGCTCTGTCGTGGACTGGTCCATGAGGTCACAAAGAGTTGGAAACGACTGAACGAACAAACAACAAATGATGTTTTGGTGATCAATTTGTAAAATCTTAATGCAATTTGACATTTAATAAGCTTTCCCTTAATCCCTCCTTACTATCCAACATTTTCCCTTATCCAACGTTCTGCTGGCCCGTTTATGTTGGATAAGCGAGACTCTACCGTATTGCAATCCTACTTTGTTGAGTTTCCAGGAGCTGTATGAAGCAGCCCAGTATGCATCAGGTTGCTTTATATGGCTGATAGTAAGTGCTGTGTATAGCACATGAGTTGCCAATGTAGTGGTGTACACATATGTGTATAAGTGAGCATGCAAATTCCTGAAATCCTGCTATGTAGTGTTTGCATATATGCATCCTTCAGATTTAAAAGATTTAAAAATGACATTGTTAGCATTACAAATGTGGAACGGAGACACATAACATGTGTCAGATATTAGATTTAATAGAATTAGGAAACATGGCAGAAAAGCCAGAAACACAAACTGCTTACCTTTTCCAATTTCTCTGGAGAGCTTAGAATTTCAATTTGTTTGTAGCAATGTTGTCGATAATTGGTTTTCAGCCCATTTTCTTTAAGTTGCATTTCCAGTTTGAGGAGCTCATCCCTGATTTCCTCTCGATTTGTAAATACACACTTCAAAACTTCTCTATATCTGTCCGTTATGTAGACAAAAAACAGTTGCAGAAATGCGACTCAATGAGGAAGCAGGATATGTTTGAGATTGCAACAGAAAACAATTCTGGTCATCATACGAAAAGTTTATTGTGAAATTTAATTAGTACCTATGAGCATTCTGCCCTTTGGACTTGTCTATATATTGAATTATCAGAGCCTTTATGAAAGTTATGAAATGTGGAGCTTATTTGCAAAAAAAGTCCTAAATCCATTTGAACAAATTTTACAGAAATAATAATAAAAAATTGCTGAGACTATGCATTATTTTGCAATAAATTGCAATTTTCTAAGCCTTGTACCAAAGTGATTTGATACGTTTTGATAGTTTTGATATGCAAATAATATGCTACTCCTAGCCAACAAGGTGCTGCCACATATAACACATTTCTCTAGACTGGTACCATTTGGAAATAAATTTATGTATTTATTTATTTAGCGTATTTATACCCCACCCTTCTCACCCTTTAGGAGACTCAGGGAGGCTCATATATATAGGCAACAATTCTATGCCATAAAAACTCCACAATTTTTCTAAAAAAAAAGAAATTGCTAAATTTGGAGGGCCACGACCTAAGGAGAGGCTGGCATGCCTATCTCTGGCACGGGAAATCTAAGATTGAGAAAAAAATTTCGAACCATTTTGTCAGATCCGCTTTATTAAAGGTCTGGGACAGGTATAAGGACAGAATGTACACCAAAACGCCATTGTGGCTTTCACCGTTAGAGGCGGCCCACAAGAGAGAGTTTCCTAAGGATAGATGGCATACGTATAAGGTATTACTAGAGAAGGAGGGAAGCCAGTGGAAGTTAAAATCATTGGAAGTGCTGAGGAAGCTGGATGAGAACCTGTCTTGGTTCCAGTACATCCAAATTACTGATTGCTACAAGGAAGATAAGAAACATGATTTTACACAACAGGAGTCATTCTGGGATGGAATCCTGAGGAAGGATAGAAAACTGATACCCTATACCAAAAACTGTTGGAGTGGGAAACAGAGACGGAACTCATTAAGGAAAACATGGTCTCCTGGGCTGTAGACTTGGGACATTCTATTTTGCTAAAGGAATGGGAAATTATCTGGAGGGAAAAAATAAAGTTCGCAAAATCAATGAACATAACAGAAAGCTGGCAAAAAAAAATTTTTCGCTGGCATCTTACCCCTCAAAGATTGGCAAAATTCTATAAAGGAGTTAGCAATGAGTGTTGGAAGTGTGGCACACAAGTGGGCACGTATTATCATGTTTGGTGGCAATGTAAAAAAGTAAAGAGCTTCTGGAGAGAGGTACATTTACAGGTGCAGGGAATTCTGCAAGTAAAATTCGAACTCAAGGCAGAATATTATTTACTGCATTTAATAGATTTTGAGTTAGATAGAAACAAGGAGATGTTGCTATATCATTTGTCAGCCGCAGCTAGAACAGTGTTTGCAAGTAAGTGGAAATCCAAGGAACTCCCAACAATGGAGGCCTGGTGGATAAAAATTGGGGATTACATGGAAATGGACACTCTAGCAAACATTCTGTACGAAACCAGCAAGAAAAGGAAAATAAACTGGCATCCCTTAAAGGAATATCTGAAAAACAGGAAGAATGTTCTGCTTTAAGGTTCGGGAAGATGGTCAGAAAAATAAATAAGTAAATGAAATAGACTTACAAGTTACATGACCCCGTGGAATGTTGGGAAGTCAATATGTTTTGTTGATTGTTTTGTTGATAGTCGTAGTTTGTGTAAGGCCCCAATGTGATGTTTGTTGTTACTTCTTACCCAGTGTTAAGCCCTCCCCTCCCTCCCCCCCTTATCCCGTTCCCCATATTCCCTTCCCCACTTTCCCTGATCCAGCTGTACTGCACAGGAGAGATAGTTGTTTAGGTATATATGTATCAGGATGCAAGTGTAAGTGTGTAACTCGGTTCTTTTTATTCCTTTGTTTGTTTGTTTTTCTTTCTGGAATGATGTAATTGTTTATATATATAAAAAAATCAATAAAGATGATTATTAAAAAAAAACAAAAAACTCCACAATTTTTTTATGAAGCAGAAAAAAATATGTTTCACTTGATAGAATCTTCCAGTGTGGTTTTTATCTTTATTCCTGTAATTGACCCCTCCTCTCCCGGCTTTTAGCTGCGAATGCTTCTGTGTACATCTATGCAAATACTTTATACTATGGCATCATCTTATAATTGCACTGTAGTAACAACACACATCTCTAAGGAAAATTAATAACTGACACAACAATATTAATCCTAAGACATAATCTAGGATCTCATGCTTTGATGGCATTGTATGGGAAAATGATTCAAGCCAACAAACAGCTATATGTTTTTTTTAAATTTACCATTAATCACTTGTTTACTGTTTACATCTAACTGAAACATTTAGTTCTAGGAATATAAACAGCCATTTAGTTACTGGTGTGTCTAAAAGCAATAATAAAAAATCTAGCATAATTTAAATGCATTTAAAGTCCAAAAGTTTTGAAACAGACAAAAAGCCATTACAGTTGTTCCTGTAAGCAATTCACATCTTTCTAGTAATCACTCTATTAACAATATGACCATCATTCTGGACAACTGAAGTACCACTTTTCAAAGGTAGCTCCATGGCAGATACATCACATGATCCAGATGTGATGTAAATAAATTTTGACCAGATCTGGAGCTTTTAAATGCAGGTGCATTAATCTAACTTGAGAAAAGACACATCAGACCACAGCTGACTACCTGTGAAACTCCTATTTGTAGATTAATATGATCAAGAAAAACCCATGGCTATATTGTATGCATTTCCAGGAGAACTGTCAGCCCGACTCAAATTATGGAATATGTCTTAAATTAAAGAGCAAGATCAATTCATTCCTTTGCAGAATTAAACAAAGAATAAATCACCCCCTTATGGAATGCATTCTCAGCATAATGGAGTGATTTATTATTTGCTTAATTCTGCTTCCATTGCGGAACCTCAGGAGTTTGTTACTAAGCTTTTGAAAGCAATAAGGCTTTTCCACCATACTACTTGCAAATGGATGGGCATCTGACTGTAAAGATTGGCAAGGCACATCATGACTTATTGGCGAAGAAGAAAAAAACAAAACAAGAGACATTTCAACAACTTCATTATCTACACATTAAGCACTCAGGTAGGAACTGTTTGTGCAGTACATTTTTACAAGAGACCATAATAAGTATGTTTTTACCTTGATATCTCTGCCTGTTGTTGCTTTGTAAAACTATCTGTTTCATGGTGATTGGGAGCAAACGCTTTATTCAGCTCATATTCTCTCAGCTTTTCTTTCAGCATTTCATTCTGAAATAATGTGACAGTGTATTTCTTATAAGAGTGGAAGAACATGGCTTGTATTCTATTTTTAGTTGCTCATATATATTTTTAAACAGCTATTATAATAGCCCAGTCAAAAATACCTCAGTGAACTTAATAAGATGTGGAATCCTTGGGTTCTCTGGGAAATTGTTATATCATTTTGATGCACCACAATTAAGACTTTTGATAATATGCACTCTTGGCAAAATTAACAAGGGTACTAACTAGCATACCTCCTTCTTTAGTTCCTCACAGATCTTCACATATTGACTTATATGGCTGTCCAAACTGACAACATTGCTCTTCAGCTGTGGAGGAATGAAAAGTTGAGTCTTTAACATAAAGTCTTTAACATAATTTGTCTTTCATTTCCTACCAGAAACATTTCTTACATACAAATATAATCTTATCAAGGACATCTGACACTAGTAACTGCTCGAGTTTTGAAACTCAACAGCTGGCATCACTTTCTGAGCTCATGTCATGGGCGATTCCTCACTCCTTCTTGACTGCAACTTTATGTGTCTCCCATAAAGCCTTTCTGTATTTGTCTTTAGGAAAGAGCTTGGGAAGTTATTTTTAGAAAGGATGAATGCAATTATATCTGAAGCAATCCATAACTGCAAAGTTGAGGATGCATTCATACGCACTGTTGTTCAACATGACTTTACAAATGTTGGACAGTAGCTCAGGTGGAGATCTGATGGCTATCAAAACAAACGAGTATTTTTTTCCACTTTTCAAACAACGAAAAGAAAAGGAGAATGGAAATAAGTGAATTCACCCACTTGGAAAATTATGATATTGTTGTCTTAAAAGTCCACTATAAAATTACTACAGAACTATTTCAAAATATAAGCCAGAGAGAGTATAGTATGAGGGATAGTTGGAGGTATTATAACATGCTTATTTCAAATACCAGTTCAGCTTTAACTAAAAACAACCATTGTAGCTCAGTTATATGATTTGTGACTATCACAGTGCAGATTTTTTTAAAACCTCATGCTTACTTACAGAGGATTTGATTTCCTTGGCTCGGCTGGCATACTTAAGAGTGTTATATGTGTCATCATAGAAGAGAGAAGAAGGACTAACGGCAGCTATAATTATAGTACGACAGTTTCCACCAAGAGAATCCTTCAATAGACGAGTAAGCTTGCTGTTCCGATAAGGAATATGTTGTCTTTTACTCTGGAAGAATGAAAACAATTCAAATTGGAAAATGGTGAGTGTTTAATGGATTGCCAAGATTACTGTAACTTCAGGTCATACTTTATACAAACAACTGTTTTACACTAAACATCAGTGACAGGTAACAAAACCTTGAGATCTTTTGTTTCCTTTAGGAAGCCTCTTAACCTTTTACAAACTCCTGTTCCAGTCTTCTCTTCCAATCAGAAGTTAACAATACAGGCAGTCCCCAAGTTACAAACAAGATAAGTTCTGTAGGTTTGTTCTTGTTGAATTTGTTTGTAAGTCAGAGTACATACAATTTTTTAGGTGTAACTCCAGCCAAATATACAGAGAATGCTTTGGATTACATAGCAATGAGTTTAAACCCATGGTGTTTCCTTTGCTGTCCCCTGCTCAGAAGATTTTACTGCACTTTTTGTCCCTGTGATAATTGGATTTTGAAAAATGTGGCTTGTTGTGGAAACAAGGATTGGTAAAAAAGCTTCAGTGGATACACATTTTCCCCATGATAACTCAACAGTGAATTTCCCTTCCGAGGGGTAGATTTCCTCTCACTTCCTGTTGTCTCACCCCCATTCTTAACGATGAGTTGTTTGTAAATTGGATGTATGTAACTCGGGGACTGCCTGTATTGATCATAATTCCCAAATGAAGCCAATGCAAACTTAGACAGGAATGTGGTGATCTGCAAAATACTACTGGACTACAACACAGACCATTCCTAATTGATGGTTATGTGGGCTACAACTATTAGCTGCTCTCCATTAACATCTAGGGCAGTGGTTCTCAACCTGTGGGTCCCCAGGTGTTTTGGCCTACAACTCCCAGAAATCCCAGCAAATTTACTAGCTGTTAGGATTTCTGGGAGTTGAAGGCCTAAACATCTGGGGACCCACAGGTTGAGAACCACTGATCTAGGGGAACACACATTCCCCACACCTTTCCTAGGGAATAAGTCTTCTGGAAGATAGTGGACCTACACTTCCAGTAAACATATGGACCATTAGTATATTGTACTGCTATTAGACCAGAAGGAAACAGGACCTACCTTTGGATCTGCCAGTGCATTAATGACATTGCCAAGAGCAAGCAGTGAGCGATTAATATTTGCCCCTTCTCTGAAGCGAGCTCCTTTGGCCTTTGAGGCACTGGCACGTTCAGACCCCGCCAGGTCAATGAGGCACATTTTGGCAATACGGACATTTTGATTAATACTTGCGGCCTTATCCTGCTGCCTCAGATAAATCTATAAACAGAAAAAATAAGAGCAGAGAACAAGTAAAAGATGTGAAAATCACACAGACTAGAAAATTTAAAACTAAAAAAAGTTTAGAAAGTCATAAATGCATTATACACAGACACACAGTATAGCTCTTTGTGTAAAATATTAAGAATTAAGCTGTGTGTGTGTGTGGGGGGGGGGAGTTAGAGATATTTGTGGTTTTTTCACTATCTTGGAGATTCTTTACCTTTAACTCCCACAAATGTGGAGAGATGGTTGTACTAGGTAATGTATAAAGGACAAGTACAAGCTTTTCATAGCTTAACTTTCTTGTTCAACATGCACAAAGTTAAAGATTTTAGTGAGAAGAGTGAAATGAAATGCACATTTTTATACTGCTGATAAGCCAAATAGAATTTCTGAATAGAATTTTTGAACAAAAGGTTGTCCCCATCCATGATTCCTAAAATAGCAAATAAGCTCTGTAACTTGATAGACAGTAAAATCCATCAATTGGCCAGGATGTAGTTTGGAAATTTGGAATAATAATAATAATAATAATAATAATAATAATAATAATAATAATGTATTACCCGCCCCACCTCTCCTTATGGTTTGAGGTGGGGCACGGCAGGGTTAAAGCAGAGAGAGAGAGAGAGAGAGAGAGAGAGAGAAATAACACTATTAAAATACATATAGCCACATACACACAAGGCCACATTAATAACATGCAGGTTAAAATTCACAAGTTAAAACTGATTGGATAACATTTTAATACAATTTCCTTAAAGTCTTATGCATATTTACCTTGAAGCAAGCCCCACTGAGTTCACTGGGATTTGTGTGCTCATAAGGGATGGAAAATTATACTTTCTGGCTACAATCCTAAACACATTTAGGTGCCAATAAACTTCACTGAATGCAGTATTAGGTCCCCCATACAGAAAGGCAACTACTTTAATGGAGACAATTATGGATTTTATTTTTAAATTTAAGCTGGAGAAAAAGTGCTTGAAGTATATATGGATACAAAGAGAATTTATTTCTCACAAGCATCTTAGACACCTCAACTTAAAAACAGCATAGGCCAAAGGTGTGTCACCCTTTAATGCTATTTAGTATAAAAGGATTTAATGCAGACAAGACTGTGAGAGCTGAATCTCTCTTTTCCAAGACAAAAGCTATTATGGCATGGCGGGCCATAATCTGAGGGTGTGCTCTCTGGCTCTCTCTTAAACAAAGCTTCAAAGGTTATCTAAGATCCTCAGATACTTTATCTGCCTTATCATCTTACCTGAAAGACAGCATGGGACCGAGATGAGGAGGCATTCACATCAGTGGGATGCTGTGTTCTGTTTTTGTTTCCATAATCCAACATTTGCAAGATCTCCTCTGCAGATTTGGGCTACAAAAGTTTGAGAAAAAAGCCAGATGAAATTAGTAAATCTTTCCTAGATTTTAATCAGGGAACTTTGTCATTCAAAAATCCAGCAATAAAGTGAACATCGCCAGTTAGGCTTTTGTTGCCACCTTGATCACAGAGAACGAGAGACACAGAACAAGTAAGACGATACTTTTTGTCAAACTGGCTTCTGTTGGTGCATACAAATTTCAGCACCTGCCCAAAGATTATGTTCAAGATGAACTTGCACAATGTAGTCAAAAGAAGCTGGGGCAGGAAAAAGGCATTGTTTTACCTATTGCAAAATGATCGGTTCATTCAAATAATGCTATCTAGGTTTTTGAGTAGGTGATAACATCAGTGGAAATACAACTAAAAGCTAATGGTAAAAGAACTAGAAAAAAGAGGAGAGCAGTAATGAACACTCAGTATTTACAGGTATAGTAGAGTTTTCCTTAACCATCATAAATGGGCCAGCAGAACACTGGTTAAGTGAAAATGTTGGATAATAAGGAGGGATTAGGAAAAGCCTATTAAACATCAAATTACGTTATGATTTTAAAAATTAAGCACCAAAACACCATGTTTTACAACAACTTAACAGAAAAAGCAGTTCAATACATGGTAACATTATGTAGTAATTACTGTATTTACAAATTTAGCACCAAAACATTGTATTGAAACAGCTGTATATTTAGGCAGGAGGCAGATCCACAGATCCTTGGATGAGCAAAGATTGGGTAAGCGAGACTCTACTGTAAATAAATATAACTAGATGAATAGATTTTGAAGAAAAAATGATTATATTCAGTCATGGTAAGATTTCAGCATGGAAAAAATTATATACAGCATTTCTAATGATTGAAGGCCACATACAAAAGCAACTACCATGTGCAACCTCCTCAAAAGTTTTTGTTGTTTCACAGAGTTGAAGCAAAAGTCATTGAGTAGCAGAAATACCAGCTAAAAATATGGATGCAAACCACAAGCATCTTGAACAGACTGAAAACCTCAAATTATACATATCAATGGCCTGCAATCACCCCCAATTCTCCATATTTCATAGGTGTAGTTATGGCAGGCTCCAAGAATGGGTTCCTCCAAGAATAATCAAACCATCAACTTTGTAGAACAGCAGGACTCAGTGAAAAGTTAAAATTCATGTTAAAAAGCAAAACAAAAACTCTTCCGCTACACCCAGACTTTTCACCCCTGTTGTGATCATACTTTTGAGATCAGAAGAAAACTTTGGAATAAGAGCAACTCTCTTGAAGTTTCCCCATGCCTTCTCTTGACACATGGAAATGCAATGAGACAATGAGGTAACTGAACCAATTTACAATGCCCCTTTCCTTCCCATGGCAAGGACATTAAGTAACTTTTTTATCCTACCTTTTCTTTCATGCCATTTAATTACTGTTCAAAAATTTGGGGGGAACTGATTCCCTTTCTGCAATCATATACATCAGGGGTGGGCTGAAAATACATCAGAATATGCCATAAGATGGTTTATAGTAATAATTTCATTTTCCTACATGAACCAGTCTGTTAAATGGAGAAATCTTAAGGAAGATGTTGCATCCAATGCGGATTCACCCCACCAAACTTAGGCTGAAGGCTAGAATTGTTTTGTTGATTCTTGTCTGCTGCCTTATATTTGTTATAGGTAATTATAAAAAAGCAAAGGCAATTTAATATATCCAGATTGTAAATAATATTGAAGATAGAGCTTTGTATATACCTGATGCAAAGTTAGTCCATGAACCTGTACACCTTTCTGAGGATCTTCCCGAACAGCCAGTGCTCCTGAATTTACTAGTAGGTCATGTATCTGCTCATTGTAGACCTTAAAAACAATGGGGATGGGCAAGAGTTATAGAAAGCATATTTCTAGATATGCCCAATTATCCAAAAAGTAGTTTTAATAACCCAGTCTCAATTTAGATAGATAATACATCTCACCTATTGCCACACCACTAACCCTTCAATTCAGTATCTTACTTTCCAAATAACTTTTTCAACATAACCATTAAGGAAGAGATTTAACAATTTGGCATGAAGCAGGAAAAAAACATATGAAGAAAATCCCAAAAATTGTATTTGAGACGATACAATACATTCAAGTTATAGTTCATAAAATTACTGATCACTGCATACAATTAGGATATCTCAAGCAAAGCTACGGACAGCTAATTAACACTACATCCTAATGAAGTCAAAGGAACCTTTTCCTCACTATTTGTTGGATTGATATACCATAAACATACCTAATCCCAATTTATTTATTGGCTCTACAGCCTATCCTGCCCTTTCCCGCAATATGGAACATGCATGCATGAAACAATACCTTATGTATTATAGTTTTAGTTTGCTGCTGCACATGCACTGCAAATACGTATGGCATTTGGGGTGAGCACGTATTAAAAATAATGTGTATCTAAGAAGATGGTAATTCAATTTCACACTTTTCTGTTGGGTTTTTTTTTATTCTTGCCTGCAGTAACATCAGAAATAGTAAACACATTTTAACTGTATGTTCAAATGCTACAGTAGCACTAAGCAACTGCCTTACTTAAAGATCAATTTGTTTAAAAATCAGAAGTTTTATAAAATACTAGCTGTACCCTGCCACGCGTTGCTGTGGCCTATAGTAAGAGTTTTGAAGTCTCTGCCTGGCCTCACTTTCTCCTTTCTTCTCTCTTCCTTCCTTCTCTCGCTCTCTTTCCCTCTTTCTCTCTCACACACTCCTTCCTTTCCCCTCTTTCTCTCTCTCTCTCGCATCCCTCCTTTCTCTCCTCCATCTCCCTCTCTCTCTCCCCTTCCCTCCTCTCTTTCTCGCGTTCCTCCTTCTCTCGTCTCTTCCTGGCCTCACTTCCTCCTTTCTCCTCTCTTCCTTCCTTTTTTCTGGCTCATACGCCCCTCTATTTTTTTCCTCCCTCCCTGGCTCCCTCACTGACCTCTCCCTTCCTTAGGTAAGAGTTTGGCTGCGCTCCCTCTTCGGCTTTCTCCTTCCTCCTCTTCTTGGGATTCCCGCCGGAGGTGTGTGTGTGCGCGGCAGGGGGGAAGAGTGAAGGAGGGATGGTTTTGACAGGGGGGGAGGGGGGGGCGGGGCTTGGCGGCGGCGTGGGCGGCATTTGATGGAGGAGGGGAGGAGGGATGGTTTTGAAGGGGGTAAGGGGGTGGGCGGGGTTAGAAGGGGGCGGGGAGGAGGGTTTGACAGGGGGAAGGGGGTGGGCGGGGTTAGAAGCGGGGGGCTTGGAGGCAGCGTGGGCAGCGTTTGATGGAGGAGGGATGGTTTTGACAGAGGGGAAGGGGGTGGGCGGCGTTTGATGGAGGAGGGATGGTTTTGACAGGGGGGAAGGGGGTGGGCAGGGTTAGAAGGGGCGGGGCTTGGAGGTGGCGTTAGATGGAGGAGGGGAGGAGGGATGGTTTTGACAGGGCGGGAAGGGGATGGGCGGATTTAGAAGGGGGCGGGGCTTGGAGGCGGCGTGGGCGAGGCAGGGCTTGGAGGCGGCGTGAGCAGAGTAAGATGAAGGAGGAGATGGTTTTGACAGGGCGGGAAGCGGCGTGGCGGGAGGATGGGGGCGTGGCTTGCGTGGAGGGAGCATTGGCCGGCAGGCCATGTGCGCGCGCCAGGGAAGTTGTGGCTGGGTGTCATTGCACATGTTCAGCTGTTTTGTCGTTTTGTGAGTGTGTTGTAGTGTTGTTTTGCATTTTGATTCTGTTTGTTTGTACCTTGTGGGTTGAGGTATGTGCATGGGAATTTTGGTTAATTTCCGCTGGGGTTTTTTTGAGTTTTGCTGTTCCGTTTAACGCCCCTTACAAATTTATATATATAGATAGGATATTATGATTATTGTTCTTTTTAAATATTGTTGGCGAATTTGGTCAGGTTTAGTGGAACTGTATCTCAGACCACAGAAAATTATTTTTTGGGGTGAGAACCCCAAGAATCCCTAATCAGAAGACTTTTCTGGGATATCTTCTCATCTTAAGTATTTTCCCAGACCTTCTGGACAAAAGGAAAGTTGTCAATTGTATGAAAAAGACCCATATGACCAGCCCAATTACGTGACTTACTGACCTTTACTGCTACTCGGTACTGCATTTTAGGAAAGGTTTTCTTTTGCGGTTGGATGGGAGTGAGGGCTCATTCTTGAAAGGTACTTAATGTTTAGTTAGGTTCTGACAAAGTTGGTATGGTCCTATTTCACCACAATATGTAACATATTCTAATATTTTTGACTAACGTACCTCAAGGTATGAAACTGCAATGGCACAATGCTTTTCCTCTTTCATTCGTTCAATTGAAGCATAAAGTTCCACCATGGTCTGGTACATTACCCCAGGATCCTTAGGAGAGCCCAGCATGGTGTGAGTTTTTCCAGCCCCTGTTGCACCATATGCAAGGACTACATAGCAATAGGGTAGGAAAGGGGTGAAAAGAGGTGATATCAGAGAATGCATACACTTTAAAAATCCAGCATTTGAAAAAAGAGGGAAGTCTGACTACTTGTGAATACTGAACTAATTTAAAGGAGCAAAAGAGCTCCGTTTGAATGATGTGGGCTATTAATTCAATTTGTATCCCATCTTTCTGTCCAAATTTGTAACCAGATTGACCCTAGTGCTCAAGGAGGCTACTCAGAAGTAGGGTTGCCAGAATTGAAACTGAAGGTATCCCCTGTATCTTCAATGGTTATGGAAAGGAAGTCATTTTAGCAGGTTGCTCATTAAAGATACAGGAACCACCTCTAATTTTCAACTTAGCAACCATATCTGGAGTGGAAGAGGGAAAAAATACCTAAAGTCAGAATTGGCAAGAAGAATTGCGAGAAAAATAGACTGGTCTGAATGCTTTTCACTAATTTCTGGATTTTTGCAAATGAGATACAGAAAGTGTCAGTTTTCATTTGCAAGATGAGGAAGCTACTATATGTGAAGCAAGAGATACCAAAACAAAATCCTCAAAGCCTAGCATACTCTCAAACATGAAGCAGAGCAACACCATAAAAGTTTTAGGATTTATAAATACTTTACTGTAGTCTTCTATACAAGTTAGTAATACAGTTTATTTTTCATAAGCAATGAAGAGACAAACACAGAGGTTAGTTACCTGTGCAATTATAGCCATTTAAAAAGCCATCCAGTACTGTTTTGGTTGTTTCTTCAAAGACCTCTAGCTGTGATGCATCTTCACCAAAGACAGCATCAAACATAAATTTCATATCCTTATTTTGCTTTTTGTTCAAATCGCGGTATAGACGTTTCTTTCCATGAAAAAAACTGACTTCCTCCACTTTTGGATCAAAGACCAACATATGCTTATCAACAACCTGGATCACTTTTGTGAAGTTGCCATCTCTCTCTTTTTGACTCTCTGGTCGAACACGGACCACTACCTTCACATGACTGCAGACGTCTTCTTGAACAGTAGTGGTCATTATGAAAAAAGTGTTGCCAGGAATACTTCCTGTGTGAGATAAATTCAGCTTCTTCTGTTGATATGAGAAAAAGTAGAATAGCTTAATCATCAATAACAAAGACAATACCAGGGTCACACTGCTTATACCATTTTTAGTAGAACACTATTGGATTTCTATTTTGACAATTACCTTTGGCAACTGTGCCAACTGCTGATTTCAAGGACCAAACTGCAATTTGACAAATGAAATTGTTGCCTAATGAAATTAAAAAGGCCACAGCAATGTCTGTTTTACTCATTTAGTTCTCCACACAACAGAGAGAATAAACATGTATGGGCTGATGCTGTTAAAACAAGCAAACACGTTTGTGGGAAGAGTTGACCATTTGACCAGCACAAGATGTGAAATGATTGACCAAATTTTAAGCAACAGTTTAAGACAGGGGTCCTCAAACTAAGGCCCGAGGGCCAGATGCGGCCCTCCAAGGTCATTTACCCGGCCCTCGCTCAGGGTCAACCTAAGTCTGAAATGACTTGAAAGCACACGACAACAATATCTCATCATCCCAAAGTAGGCCCACACTTCCCATTGAAATACTAATAAGTTTATATTGGTTAAAATTGTTCTTCATTTTAATTATTGTTTTGTTTTTAAGTGCTACAAATAAGATACGTATGTGCATAGGAATTCATTCATGTTTTCTTTTCAAATTATAATCCGGCCCTCCAAAAGTTTGAGGGACTTTGACCTGGCCCTCTGTTTAAAAAGTTTGAGGACCCCTGGTTTAAGAGATTGCAATGAAGAGAGATTAATGCCAAATACAGTCCATTACTTACATCCTGTAAAACTATTAATGTCTATGCCATTTCCATATAAATATTTTTGAAGCTACAAATTTTACATACATTTCAATTCCTGTAGCATATTCAGTGAATCATTCTTAGCTTTTATTTTGGAATCCCAGAATGGCATAAACAGTTGTGCATCTTATTTTGAATTAATTAAACTACTGGGGAACAAATGTTATTTGCTATATTATAATTACAGTATTGTAATGCAAGACATAACAAAAGTGCCTCAAAATGTAGTTAGCTATTCCTATGTGTGCTTCCATTACAATGCTTACTCAGACTGAAGCCCCCGTTCAATAGAAGCCCCCCCTCGATGGACTGTCACCTTGTCGTGGTGAGGGGGCTTGCGCGTTCCAATGAACCTGTAGGCACAACAACTGGAGTCGTGCACTCCCAGGAGTGGCCGCGGGGGAGGTTCCAGACCAAGCACAGTCCGAAGACCCAAAGACCTCAACGGCGGAACAGGCGGAGGATAACATGGCACATGTTACAACGGCTGCGAAGGCGGAAGAAGGCTGCAACAGACTGAGAAGCCACGGTCATTGTGTTAAACTACATCACCAGTGGAACCTCACTCTGTGAAGTCTGTGTGTTGATCAGTTGTGCACTGACCTCCACACATTAAAAAAACCCACGCACAGGCGTCTTCCAAAGAAAATAAAAACAAACCAAAGTCCCATGGCGATCAGCGAGTGGCGACGGGGGCAGGACTGTGAAATCTGGAAGCCCCTAGTCACAGACTGGCACATGGGCGGTGGGTACGGACTCAGTCGTTCTACCTCAAGGTCCGAGGCAGTTGAGTAGTTCGGCAGCTGTATCCGCGACTGAGCAGCCCTATTGAGGACCCACTCTGCTCACCCCACATGGGGAGGGGGCTAGAAAAGGTGCCCTAAACATAGCCTGCCTCACTTATCCCTGACTGGACTGCCGCGTCCAGTGGGGTCACCACCCTGCGGCCAAAAAAGGAAAATGAACTTCGGTACGTGGAACGTACGGACTCTGATGGACAACAGTGGCAGTGAACGCCCCGAACGCAGAACTGCCATCATTGCAAGGGAGCTGGGACGCTTCAACATTGACATAGCAGCCCTTCAGGAGACCCGGAGAGCAGGAGAGGGACAGCTGAAGGAAGAAAAAGGAGGCTACACCTTCTTCTGGAAGGGACTGCCCGAAAAAGACCAAAGAATGCACGGAGTTGGCTTTGCCATCAGGAATGATCTGGTGAAACATCTGTCCGAAGCACCCACTGGCATCAACGAACGACTCTCAACCCTCCGAATCGATCTTGCCAAAAACCAACGGGCAACCATCATAAGTGCCTATGCACCAACACTAGATGCTAACGAAGACATCAAGGAGAAATTCTACTGTCAGCTGGACACCGTCCTATCGGGGATACCTAAGGAGGACAAAATCATCCTCCTGGGGGACTTCAATGCAAGAGTCGGGCGAGACTTCGACCTGTGGCCAGGGACCATCGGAAAAGACGGGGTTGGAAACAGCAACTCAAATGGCATCCTGCTTCTCACCAAATGTGTGGAGCACAACCTTGTCATCACCAACACGCTCTTCCGCCAGAAAAACAAGTTCAAGACATCATGGAAGCACCCCCGGTCAAAGCATTGGCACCTCTTAGACTATGTAATCACACGCGCCAGAGACCGCCGTGACGTGCTCCTCACAAGAGCCATGACAGGTGCTGACGACTGCTGGACTGACCACAGGCTAATTTGATCCTCGATGGCTCTCAAGATTGCCCCCAAACGCAGACTCCAAGGAAGGAAGACAAGGCGCAAAATGAACACCCAAGCCCTTCAGGAGCCCTCCAGACGAGCCCATCTCCAAACAGCACTCAAGGACCATCTACCCACAGTACACCCCGAAAATGTCGAGGAACATTGGAACAAACTGAAGACCTCCATCATCCAAGCCTGCGAAGAAACTATTGGATACCAAGCCAAGAAACATCAAGACTGGTTTGATGAAAATGACATCGAGATCCAACAGCTAATTGACAAGAAAAGGAAAGCCTTCCAAGCATGGCAGAGAGACATCAACTGTGCTGCTAAGAAAAAGATCTATGCCAGTGCAAAAGCTGAGGTCCAAAGAAGGACAAGAGAACTCAAGAACATCTGGTGGACAAAGAAGGCTGAAGAAATCCAACACCTGGCAGATACCCATGATGCTCAGGGATTCTTCAAAGCCACAAAGGTCATCTATGGACCAAGAAACCATGGATACAGCCTCTACGCTCATCAGATGGAACCAAACTCCTGAAGGACCAAAACTCAATTGCACTACGTTGGAAAGAACACTACCAAAGCCTCCTGAACCGCAGCTCCAATGTGGCCGAAGAGGTCCTCTCACAAATCCCGCAACAACAAACCAGGGATGAGCTTGCAGCACTGCCTAGTTTGGAAGAAGTCAGCAATGCCATCAGCCAACAGAAGAATAACAAAGCCAGTGGACCAGATGGGATCCCTGCTGAAATCTTTAAAGAGGAGGACCTGAGCTGACACACCAACTCCACCAGCTCATAGAAAAAGTGTGGGTGACCGAGAAAATCCCAGCAGATTTCAAGGACGCCACCATCATCACCCTCTTCAAAAAAGGGGAAAGAACAGACTGCGGAAACTATCGAGGTATCTCCCTTCTAACCTCCGCTGGGAAAATCCTCGCAAGAATCCTTGCAAACCGCCTTCTGCCCCTCTCAGAAGACACCCTCCCAGAATCCCAGAATGGCTTCCGCCCCTCCAGAGGAACAGTGGACATGATCTTCACTGCAAGACAGCTCCAAGAAAAATGCAGAGAACAAAACCAACCTCTGTACATGGCATTCATCGACCTTGCAAAGGCATTCGACACAGTGAATCGCAGCGCTCTCTGGACCATCCTCCACAAAATCGGGTGCCCAAACAAATTTGTGAACATCCTGCGGCTCCTCCACGATGACATGATGGCAACAGTCTTGGACAGCAGTGGCTCCCAAAGTGACCCATTTAAGGTGGAATCAGGTGTCAAACAGGGATGTGTTATTGCCCCAACTCTATTCTCCATCTTCATCGCTATGATACTTCACCTTGTTGATGGGAAGCTTCCCACCGGAGTGGAAATAATCTATCGGACAGATGGCAAGCTATTCAACCTCAGCAGACTGAAAGCCAAAACCAAGGTTACAACAACATCTGTTATAGAACTCCAGTATGCTGATGACAATGTCGTCTGTGCGCATTCAGAAGAAGATCTACAAGCCACTCTAAACACCTTCGCAGAAGCATATGAGAAGCTCGGCCTGTCACTGAACATTGAGAAAACCAAGGTGCTGTTCCAGCAGTCGCCAGCCAATCCCTCTCCAATGCCAGTAATACAGCTTAATGGTGTCACATTAGAAAATGTGGACCATTTCCGCTACCTTGGCAGCCACCTCTCCACCAAAGTCAACATCGACGCCGAAATACAACACCGCCTGAGCTCTGCAAGTGCAGCATTTTCCAGAATGAAGCAGAGAGTGTTTGAGGACTGGGACATCCGTAGGGATACCAAGGTGCTTGTTTATAAAGCTATTGTCCTCCCAACCCTGCTATATGCCTGTGAGACGTGGACTGTCTACAGACGTCACATGCAGCTCCTGGAACGTTTCCATCAGCGCTGCCTCCGGAAAATCCTGCAAATCTCCTGGGAAGACAAGCGGACAAACGTCAGTGTGCTGGAAGAAGCAAAGACCACCAGCATTGAAGCAATGGTCCTCCAACATCAACTCCGCTGGGCCGGCCACGTTGTCCGGATGCCTGACCACCGTCTCCCAAAGCAGTTGCTCTACTCCGAACTTAAGAACGGAAAACGGAACGTTGGTGGACAGGAAAAGAGATTTAAAGATGGGCTCAAAGCCAACCTTAAAAACTCTGGCATAGACACTGAGAACTGGGAAGCCCTGGCCCTTGAGCGCTCCAGCTGGAGGACAGCTGTGACCAGCAGTGCTGCAGAATTTGAGGAGGCACAAGTGGAGGGTGAAAGAGAGAAACGCGGCAGGAGGAAGGCGCGTCAAGCCAACCCCGACCGGGACCGCCTTCCACCTGGAAACCAATGCCCGCACTGCGGAAGAAGATGCAGAGCAAGAATAGGGCTCCACAGCCACATACGGACCCACAAGGAAATCCATAATGGAAGACCATCTTACTCGTCCAACGAGGGATCGCCTAAGTAAGTCAATAGAGTGTTTCAGAGTAGTGGTTTATATTCCATCTTTCCCAATGGGACTAAAGCAGTGGTTCCCAACTTGTGCTCCATAAGAACTAAAATATGGGCCGCGGCCTCACAGTTAATACCTCGTTGAAACAAGAGCAACTGGTATTGCTAAATCCTCTTATAGTGCCGAGGCTTATTAAATATGGTTTTCTGTGGGCAAACAGATGGCGACTACTGGATGACATATGTTCTGTATCATAAACTAGAGCTGATGTGGTCTATCCAATGTAATTTTCTGAATCAGCACCTCAAACAACCAAACCAAATCTAAAGTTGACCAAAAACTAATTTGGAGAGTGGTCCATGGTTAAAAAAAAAGTTTGGGAACTACTGGACTAAAGGATGCATACAGTGTAAGATTAAAGCACATCAGCTAAAACAATATGAAGTACAAAGGTTAACAAAACACTAACAGACGTCGATCTATCTTCACTGAATTCAGTAGGATCAACTCCCACATAAACATTGTTGGGATTTCATTTTATTGCCTGGTAAGTAAGATAGCTTGATCCAAAGAACAATGCTTTTCTGAGCTCAGTTGGAATTATTCCCACGTGTTCATACAACTGCAACCTTAAAGGTGATTTGAAATGAAGAAAGAGAGCCTTGTGATACTTTCAGAACTAACCTGATTATTTCAGTATAAATCTCCACTGGCTATAGCCCACTTCACCATATACCCCAAAGGTGCCACATCCTGTCTGATCTTGGAAACTAAGCATGGTCAACTCTGGTTAGTAACTGAATGGGAGACTTTCAACAAATAGCAAGTGCTGTAGGCTTCCTATTTCAGAAGAAGGAACTATCAATTTCTGAATATTCCTTGCCCAAGGAAATCACATAAAATTAATAGGATCATCATAGATAACTTGAAAGCATATCAATGTACATATATGTATGTGTTGATTATAGTTGACCACGCTAAGATTACAGTGAAGTATGTGGCCCTTTCCCTCACTTTTTATCCCTTCGACAAACTTGCAAGTTGGTGTGATAGTGGCTGCTAGCCCATAGTTACCTAGAAAGTTGGATATGAACCTGAGTCTCCAAACAGGTTCATAAAGGTGACTTTACCTTCTCTTTTTATACATTACATCACTCATATGAAAGACAGTGTTTTTAATCTAACTGTTCATAATTTTGTTATTTGATTGTGCTGTACTTTGTGTGTTATATTTTTATGTGTTATTAATTGTTTATTCCACTTTATTCCACCCATATTGAGACCTAAATTATGCTGTTGTTGGTTCTGATGATTGTTTTATATTTTGTTATAATTGCTGCTTTGTGTTATTTTAAATTGATTTTATGCATTCTAATGTGCTATATTTTAACTCTGTTGATAGGGCTTGGCGCCATGTAAGTCGACCCGAGTCCCTTCGGGGAGATGGAGGTGGGGTATAAAAAATAAAATTATTATTATTATTATTATTATTAGAAACACAACAAGTTGAGTCCACAGCAGACACTCTGCTGGCTGTTGAATTGGATCACACGTCGGACACTTCCCAAGTGTCTAGGACTGTGTGATGTATTGGCGAATAATGTGTGCAGATCCAGGTAAGGTGGCCTTCTGCAGCTGGTAATTTTGTCAGCGCCGATTGTGTTTAAGTGCAGGCCAAGGTCTTTAGGAATTATTATTATTATTATGATGTATTTTCTTGTATTGCACTTATTGTGTTATTTATGTTGTAAGCTGCCCCAAGTCCCTTTTATTATTATAATATCATTATATCATTATTATTATTAATGATCTTTAGTCTAGAGGCCTTTCCAAAGAAAATTAAGGCATTTTAACCTCCAGAAAACTGGCAATGTAGATGATAGATAAAAAGTTCAAATTACAGCTCCTGCAACATATCTATGTATAGAGAAAGTGCTCAAAATAAAGCCTCTGAAATGTTATAGACATGTACACACGGAGATACAAAGTCATGAAGGGATCCTATATATTCTGTACACGATGTAGTATTTATTTATTTATTTATTTACTTTGCTTGTATACCGCAGTTTCTCAGCCTGCAGGCGACTCAACGCGGTTCACAACAAGAGCAAAAGTCAATGAAACAACATACAATATTTAAAACCATTAACAGCACAATATACAAAATAATGACACATCAATACAACACATTAGCATCTCATAACTAAAATCGTGATCCAATTCGTCATTCATAAATTCCGTTTCCTATATTCATCGTTCATTGCACTATTTATCCGAACGCCTGTTCAAACAGCCAGGTTTTTAGTTTTCTTCGCAACACCATTAACGAAGGGGCTGATCTAATGTCCCTGGGTAGGGCATTCCACAGCCGAGGGGCCACCACAGAGAAGGCCCTGTCCCTCATCCCCGCCAGCGTGCTTGTGATGCAGGCGGGATCGAGAGCAGGGCCTCCCCAGAAGATCTTAGAGTCCTGGTGGGTTCATAGGCAGAGATACGTTCGGATAGGTAGCTTGGGCCAGAACCGTTTAGGGCTTTATAGGCCAACGCCAGCACTTTGAATTGAGCCCGGTAGCAAATCGGCAGCCAGTAGAGCTGGTGCAGCAAGGGAGTTGTATGCTCCCCGTGCTCCGCTCCTGTTAGTATCATGGCTGCCGAGCGTTGGACTAGTTGAAGCTTCCTAGCCGTCTTCAAAGGCAACCCCACGTAGAGAGCGTTGCAGTAGTCTAAACGGGATGTAACCAGAGCGTGGACTACCGTGGCCAAGTCAGACTTCCCAAAGTACGGGCGAAGCTGGCGCACAAGCTTTAACTTTTAACTGTGCAAATGCTCCCCTGGTCACCACCGAAACCTGGGGTTCCAGGCTCAGCGATGAGTCCAGGATCACACCCAAGCTGCGAACCTGCGTCTTCAGGGGGAGTGCGACCCCATCCAACACAGGCTGTAACCCTATACCCTGTTCGGCCTTGCGACTAACCAGGAGTACCTCTGTCTTGTCTGGATTCAGTTTCAATTTGTTCGCCCTCATCCAGACCGTCACAGCGGCCAAGCACCGGTTCAGGACCTGGACAGCCTCCTTAGTAGCAGGTGGAAAGGAGTGACAGAGTTGGACATCATCTGTGTACAGATGACACCGTACCCCGAAACTCCAGATGATCTCCTGCAGCGGCTTCATGTATTGGATTTATAAGATTTGATTTTCCGCATGTAATGGAAATTTATTTCCTCTCTCTCTCTCTATATATATATATATATACTGTATATGATGTGATTGTATTGTAAATTAAAAACAAAATAAATAAATAAATGAGTTTTTAATTACTGAAATGCCAGAATACATATGTGTGTGTGTGTGTGAGAGAGAGAGATAGGTAGAGCATAGGCATGGGCAAACTTGGGGCTTCCCTCCAGGTGTTTTGGACTTCAACTCCCACAATTCCTAACAGCCTCAAGTTTAAGCGGCCCAGGGGAAAAAGAAAGGTGCCTGAGGCTGTTAGGAATTGTGGGAGTTGAAGTCCAAAACACCTGGAGGGAAGCCCCAAGTTTGCCCATGCCTATGCTCTACCTATCTCCTCTCTCTCTCTCTCTCCTGGTCTAGTTCAATGGCTTCAAAAGTTCATTGCACCCGAGCTCCTCCTCACCCGTCCTAATTCGTACACCTTTAACTCACCGGGACCCCGAAGAGAGCCTTTGTTTACTCCCAACCCGCGCCGCGTCTTTAAGGCGTCGGCACCCCTGGAGTTCTCTGGCCTTCCGGAAGCCACCAAATTTAAACCCAAGCGGTTTGGAGCTCTCTGCCTTCTGGTTGGCTCCCGACCGCGTGACGTCACCTGCGTTACTGCGGGGCGGGCGAGGAGGAGCTCGCCTCTTTTGTCCCAAACGGGGACCCGTCCCTCCTTAGCCCAAGCAGAGGGAAAGGTGGGCGGCTCCTCTCTCTCTCTTTATGATGGTAATAGGAAATTGGGTAGTATTGGCAAGGAATGAATGAATGAAGGAAGGAAGAGGTTCCTTTGCTACGTAGATGAGAGAGGGAGGAGGAGGAGGAGGTGTGTGGGGGAGCTTCTGCTCATGGCGGAGGGAAAAAGGGAGACTGGATTTCATAAGCGCATTCTAGAGCTGGGCCGGGACAGGAGTGCAGCCTGGCTTGTCTCCCATTCAATTACTAAACATTACAGCCGGCCATCCCCTATCCACGGATTCTGTATCCACGGCTTGGAAACATTACAAACAATTGAATGGGGACACAACACATACACACACCTTCACTTTGCCATTATTGTGCCATATTTTAACGAATAGCACTTTCAAGAGGGTGCTGATTTGTGTTGATGTATTTACTAATTCATCACACTAGGGAATGAATCCACTTTAAATCCGGTTTCTGCCTCCTGCAGAATTCTAGAGTTTGTAGTTTAGTGAGGAGGCTGTTAAGTCTCCTCCCTAAACTACAAACCCCAGGATTCTGCGGATTCATTCTCTAGATTGAGATCCTTAATAGATTGTTATTTATTGCAATTGTCTTTATACCCTAATATTTAATTCTAATGTTTATACATTTTCGGGTTTAGTTTTTAAAAAAGGATTGTTAGTCTGTGGCACCATCTACACTGTCACAGAATGCAGTTTGGATCTGCATATGAGATTTGCCCATGCCTGCTCCAGTCTTGAAGCCCTGCAGACCCAGCTCCTGCTGCCTCTCCTCCGCCTCCTCCAGCCACTGACGTCACGCGTCACGTGGGGTGCCTGCCTCTCTGCGCGGCGTGGGCGGCTGGGGTTTAAACTTCATTTCAACCGCAGATCCCTCCCGGCCTCGCAGCTTCACACCGCAGCTCTTCCCTCCTCCAACAACCCCCCCCCCCCTCCGCAAACCAAAACACCAGCTTTAAGTAGAGTGCAGCCAGCAATGCAAGCCATTCTGATTCTGGCCAGGAAGATTCTGTGCTATTATTATAATCCAGAAACTTAATGTTCAGTTGGTCCACCTTCCGGAAAGAACTAAAGACGTGGATGTTCTCTTGTGCCTTTGACTAGCTAGTCCCCCCAAATAGTTCTGGCTCTCAATTTGATCCTAAATAGATGTCACACATTACCATTGCCCTGGTTAGAGATATAATGCTCCCTTTATACTACCCCTTAGGTCGAAATCCCGTTATGTCCTTTCCTTTAGCACTTTATTCAGCAACCCTTGTTTATTCATTTACTCGTTTCCCACTCTTCGTGACCTCATGGACCAGCCCACGCCAGAGCTCCCTGTCGGCCGTCACCACCTCCAGCTCCTTCAGAGTCAAGCCAGGCACTTCAAGGATACCATCCATCCATCTTGCCCTTGGTCGGCCCCTCTTTCTTTTTCCTTCCATTTTCCCCAGCATCGTCTTCTCTAAGCTTTCCTGTCTCCTCATGATGTGGCCAAACGACTTCATCTTTGCCTCTAATATCCTTCCTGCCAATGAGCAATCCTGAAGTATGGACTGGTTGGATCTTCTTGCGGTCCAAGGCACTCTCAGAATTTTCCTCCAGCACCATAATTCAAAAGAATCTCTCTTCCCTCACTCAGTCTTCCTTATGGTCCAGCACTCACATCCGTAGGTTACTTTGGGGAATACCATTGCTTTACCTATGCGGATCTTCATTGCTAATGTGATGTCTCTAATCTTTACTATTTTATCAAGATTGGTCATTGCTCTCCTCCCAAGAAGTAAACGTCTTCTGATTTCCTGGCTGCAGTCTGCATATGCACCAATCTTTGCACCTAGAAATACAAAGTTTGTGACTGCCTCCACATTTTCTCCCTCAGCCAGTTATCAATCAGTACGGTTGCGATCAACCCTATCTTTTGTCAAATGATCGGCACCAGTTATCCGCCCAAATTCAGTACTGTGCACTATTCAGACCATTGAAGGTTGCCAGATGTTCGCTATATAATGCATTTTGTGGTGGTTTTATAGTGTTTGAAATGTTTTTATGACTTGTGTTGCTATTTTAACCATGTTGAATTTTGGGCTTGTCCCCATGTAAACCGCTCTGAGTGCCTTTGGGGAGATGGAGGTGAGGTACAAAAATAAAGTTATTATTGTATTATTGTTGGTTGAGACTAATTGGAAAAACTAGCAAAATGTACTGCAGGATGTCCTGCAAAAATAAAGGGCACCTGATGAACCAACCTGGACACAGCATATTATTAGAGAACACAGAAATGCTGGACTACTCAAGTCAGACTACACAGAGAAGCCACTGAAATCCACAAGCATGTGGACAATTTCAACAGAAAAGAAGAAACCATGAAAATGAACAAAATGTGGCTACCAGTATTTAAAAAACTCTAAAATCAGGACCTAAATAAAGACAGGGGAGCTTCAGACATGATACAATCAGGGACAGCGAATCAGCTCTCAACAAAGGCAGTAACAAGCCACACTGTGAAAACTGCTAGGCCATTAAATGCTAATCAAGGTGGCCAATTGAAACGTTCACACTTACCTGCAACAACAAAAGTTTTTTTTTTTGCAGTTTAATAATAACAACTTTATTCTTGTAGCCTGCCTCCTTCATCCCAAAGGGACTCGGGGCGGCTTACATATGGCACAAAGTGCCAAAAACAGAGCATAAAATAAACACACTGTACAATATAATAAAGTAAAACATATAGCATATAAGTCAATTCAGAACTCAGAACAATGCCCAATAATCTATAGTGACAACTATTGTAATTAACTTTTCCCCATGTTTTTTAAAATGATACATCCAATTAGGAAATGACATTTATAGCTCAGAAACAAAAAAATTCTCTCCTGACTTTTTGCCCACATGTATGGCAGGCATCCTGAGGTTGCTGGAAACTAGCCAAGTGAAGTTTATATATCTGTGGGATGTCCAGGATGGGAGAAAGAACTCTTGTCTGCTGGGGGCAAATGCGAATGTTGCAATTGGTCACCTTTATTAGAATTAGTAATCATTAGTAATATGTGTTTATGTTTTAGTAACCCGGCTCGAGTGTAAGAGGCGGGCAAGAAATAAAGCTATTATTATTACTCAAAAGGGGGGAAGGAAACGTGAGAAAAAGAAGGGATGTCTACTCCAAGAGGGAAGGATGGAAAAAAGGGGGGCACTGGCTTTTAAGAGGAAGGGACAGCATGTAAATCAGGGGTAAGTGTCATAAGTCTTACAATATCATCTATTCTATGACCTGGAACCTGAAGCTATAGCTAATACCAAATAAGAGACTCCCCTGGGCACACAGAAGGTGATTTGGAAGGCGGCGAACAGACTGCGCTCTGGCACCACAAGATGCAGAGCCAAAGTGGAGTCCACCACATGCGAGTGTGAAGAGCAAACCACAGACCACCTGGATTGTTGTAGGTTTTTTCGGGCTATATGGCCATGGTCTAGAGGCATTATCTCCTGACGTTTTGCCTGCATCTATGGCAAGCATCCTCAGAGGTAGTGATGTCTGTTGAACTAGGAAAAAAGGTTTATATATCAGTGGAATGACCAGGGTTGGGACAAAGAACTCTTGTCTGCTGGAGCTAGGTGTGAATGTTTCAACTGACCACCTTGATTAGCATTTGATGCCTTGGCAGTGGATGGGGCAATCTTTTGTTGACAGGTGATTAGATGTCCCTGATTGTTTCCACCTATTACAATGCAATCTGAGCCCTGCACAATGGAGGACCTCCTTATAGGAACACCAGAGGCCAGCTACCGGTCAAAGGACATTTAGTATAATGTCAAGTTTTAAAACTGTCTTTTTTTAAATACAGTACAACTGTACCCCTGGTTTGCTTCTGATATGATAAATAAAATAAATCTATTCTATGCAGTCCAGTGTGGTCCTTGTTTTGATTATTTCAAATGAAACAATGAGCCAAGGATGAGGTTTGCTGAGTCCCACAGAAGCTTGCAAAGCCAACTTTCAGCCTTCTGGAGGAAAAAAAAAAGACGTCGTCCAACTGAAGACGTGTCCCGCCTCGGGATTTTTGGTCGAGTTCTCCCCCCGGGACCAACGAAACGGCTACCATGGGCCTGACTCGAAAGATGTTAGCGCCGGAGTGAGAAGTCCGCTTCCCTCCTCAGTAGTCTGTGGAAGATGAGGAAGAGGTGGCTTAGTGGAACTCAAGGCAGCGGTGCCTTGTTGCGCGGAGGACTCTTATTGGCAGCCCTCTAGTGACGCAACGGGGGAACCTGCGGCGTGGCGCACCGGCCTCGCAGCGCGGGTTGTGAGTATCTCTTCAGTCTCCAAGCGCCGGGACTGACGGACTGGCGGGCGGAGGCGGGCGGGCGGGAAAGCGAGAGGGAGATCCGAGGAAGGAAGGAAGGAAGGAAGGAAGGAAGGAAGGAAGGAAGGAGGGAGGGAGGGAGGGAGGGAGGGAGAGGCAGGCTGGCCGGCCCATAGACCCTGGAGACGCCACGTTGCCTGAACACGCCACACGCAGGCTGCTCTGCGGCTCCCACTCACGGGGCGCCCTGGTTGCCACGGAAATGGAGGGGCTCCTCAGGTTTCGTCTCCCAGAGACTCCTGCCTTGCGCGTCTTCACTACGCCAGAGGATACAGCCTCATTGTGGAATCGATGCACCTTTTCCTGCCTAGGGCTTGTAGTTTGGTGAGGCACTCTTTGGCAGAGTAGGTCCAGTGCTATGAAACCTAGGGAGCTGTGCATTGGTGACCTCCCAAGTTCCAGTCCAATACTCTTTGACAGAGAAGGCTAAAGACCTTGTAAAACCACAGCTCCCAGGATGCTGTGGCATCAAAGTGGTGTCAAACTGCACTGTTTCTGCAGTGTAAACACAGCCTTTGCTAAAGAGCTGCTAGGAAGAGTGGCATACCGAAGAAGAACCAAACAATAGTACCAAAATGGCCATGAAACCAGAATGAAGAGTTCTCTTGCTATAATAATAAAAAAACTTTATTTATAACCTGCCCTCGCTCCCTGAAGGAACTCAGGGTGGTTTACTGAAATGACAAAAATGGCAAGCATTCAATGCCAAAAAATTAAATAACAATCAAAGCAAAACATAAAATTAAATAAATCAATATAACTTGTAAACAACCGAAGTCAAGGTTTAAGCTAAATAAACGTACTACTTCATCACGCTAAAGAAAAAAATCCACTTAAAATCTGGTTTCTACCTCCTGAGAATTCTGGGGTTTGTAGTTTAGTGAGGCCATTAGAGGCTCCTCCCAAGGAAACAGACCAATTAAAACATTGTACATTAAAAGCACAGTGTAATATATTTCTATAGCAGTATTATCCCATGTTAACTGCCATGGCTGCCATTATTGCAATTTAGAGGGAAGTGTTTGAATTCTTGGAGAGTTCCTGCCCTCATTAAGATATAAACTCCAGATTTGAGAGACAGGACCTTCTTTGTGGTGGCCTCTCAGCTATGGAATTCCCTCTCAAATGAGGCATTCTCTCCTGACGTTTCACCTGCATCTATGGCAAGCATCCTCCGAGATAGTGACCTCACTACCTCTGAGGATGCTTGCCATAGATGCAGGCGAAATGTCAGGAGAGAGTGCCTCTAGAACATGGCCATATAGCCTGAAAAAACCTACAGCAACCCAGTGATTCTGGCCATGAAAGCCTTCGACAATACATTGAAATTAGATCTGCTCCATCTCTCCTGGCCTTCCTAAAAAAAGTGAAATCCTGACTGTGGGGTCATCCAGGATTTCACTTTTTTATCTTAGTTAACAAAATGAATGTGTTCCTGGGCATTGCTTTTAACAAAAAATGTGCTACAGGTGGCAGAAGTAACATATAAAGAAAGAGGATTACAATCCTACTCCACAAAATAAGTTAATTTTAACATGTTTCAGCAAACGTTTTATCCAAAACTAACAACATGCACATATGAAAGGCTATTAGAAGTAAACAAAACCATTTGAAACCTACAAGAGTCTGAAAGCCTCTTCTAAAATTTATCCAGAGGCAATTGGCTATGTTCTTCTGATCTCCATTTTGGTGGCCAAGCTTATACATTTATGCTTTTTTAGCATACCAGATTAGTTGGTAAGGTGTGACTGTCTCTTTTCCTGATTGTTTTATTGTTTACTTTCTTAGTAAAGGATTTGTGATGCTGCTGCTATTGTTAGTAGGCACACAGAGCTAAAATAGGATTTACATATTAGAATCATACACTATCCCAGATCAAACTGTATGTCATTGTTTACTGTAAACACTACTGCAACATGACAGTGGTAGTCTGTGTTTCTCCAGCTCGATCTCCGAAATTCAGCTAAAATATGTTCAGCTAGAGAGTACGAGATTGGACAAGAGTCTGAGCATGTGAAAAAAGCCTTTTTAAAAGGAAGGTTTTTTTGTTAAGGGTCTTTCTCAGGCAAGGGCAAACTTCGCTCCTTGACTGCTTTGGACTTTCACAATTCCTAACAACCTGTTAGGAATTGTGGGAGTTGAAGTCCAAAATACCCAGAGGGCCAAAGCTTGCCCATGTCTGGTCTTTGTTAATTGAGATATGTCTGTTTTGCAAAGACTGCTGCAGTCAGTTTGGAAGGAGATTATTGGTGTGTGAATCAATAACGTGGATGGTCCATCCATTTCCTCGCAAGATCCCTTCAAGTATTATTTGGTCATTCTTTCCACAAACACTCAACCATGGTCTCCACAGCTTAGTTGTGGCTGTTCCAGTCATACATTCATATAAATTTATATATTTATATTGTGGTAAACCATAGCCTCATGCAGCTGGTTCGTTCTTCCTTGGAGTGGCAGGACCTATTCATCTGAAAGTATCTCTTTTGGCATTGTTTAAAAGTCTTACTTTATCTGGCATTTCTGTTACTGATTTTTTAAAAGTTGTATATTTCTCTCTTAATTATTTTTCATACTTTCCTCTGCCTTTTTTGAGTAGAGGCAGTTTTGGTTGGGATATTATGAGCTATTTTTTCTAACACTAAATTTAAGTCCATTATTTACTGTATCTAATGATACCTTTCAGTTTCTGCTGTGCATGCCAGAATACAAATAGAAAAAACAAATAAGAAACAGAAACTTTGGGTTGTTGAAGACATTTCCATATAGGTGTCAAATAGCATAATGAACAATATTGAGGACAGAAGTTACTAAAATGGATAATTCAGTGAGCTTCCTTCCCTTCCTCCTGATACTAGAGAATGCATAGCTAAGATAGAAAACAAGTTTAGACATTGATACTTAGATGCTACACAGGGTATATAAATTGTTCAATTTAGGCTGAAAAATGATAAATTCCTGATAAATTCAGGGGAATCAACAGTGGGCACATCCAAATGCTCGAGCTGCTTTTGAGCTCAGGGAGCAGGGAGTTCTCCTTATTTGTGATGTGCTGAGTTAATGAACTTGTAAAGAAAACAATTTCAAATGAAAAGGCTATAATTATAATTCATACATGGTTAGTCAAAAAAGAACCCTAATGTAAGGGACATGGTATATGGTTGAAACAATGACAGTTGTTTATAGACTGCATGGATTCTCCCAGGAACCGTAATACAACACCCCTGATTTTGTCCTTAAATTTCTCATATCTGCTAAAGTACTTCTGGTTTTGAAAAGGAGCCTACTAATCTAACACAGATCATAAAGAGGGTGATAGCAAAATTGCCTCAGTGCTGTCAAGGAAGGAGAAGGGGCTTCTTGAAGTTTTTGTCTAATGGTATGCCAGGTGAAAGCTCTCAGAGCTCTGTGAAGGAAGGGGGTGCATTCTTGATTTCTGGGTGCTACTTATCACATACTTGGCTTTGAACATAAGTCATTTACAGCAGTGGTTCTCAACCTGAGGTACCCAGAAGTTTTTGGCCTACAACTCCCAGAAATCCCAGCCAGTTTACCAGCTGTTAAGATTTCTGGCAATTGAAGGCCAAAAACATCTGAGGACCCCAGGTTGAAAACCACTGATTTACAGGATTACAGCAATACATTGTTCCATATTTTTCTAGTAAGATAAAGTACATTATCAAATAGATTAAATATTTTCTTCATGAGAAAAATATGGGACAGTATGGCTGCAATCTTGTAAATGAGTCATGTTCATTAATCAATGCATGGAGGATGTCTCGGAATGAGGACAGTTCGCAAATGTGGAATTTGCAGTTAAAGAATGGTGCAGAGGCTCTTCCCCCAATTGTAGATGAGGCAGAAAAAGAACACACTAGGGAGAATGAGGGGTTCTTGGAAATATCTGACTTGATTATCCTTAATTGAACCACCTTGAGTTGCCTCCAGTTGAGAAAGGCGGTATACAAATGCGGTTAATTAATTAATTAATTATTGCAGGGGTGTGTCTCTGAGAAGGGGGCCAGTTTAGAGTTACACAATCCAGGGTTAGGTTTCAGGGAGATCTGCAGAGCACCTTACAGGAAAGGGACCCTGTCAATCCTGAAAGAAGACGGGGGTTGGTCATAGGCGACTCCCTCCTAAGAGGAACAGAATTGGTGATTTGCAAACCTGACAGGATATCTAGAGAAATATGCTGCCTCCCTGGGGCAAAAATCCACCACGTGACTCAGCAGCTGACAAGACTAATCAAACCCACTGATTTCCTCCCCCTCTCCCCTTCATGTTGGTTCATGTAGGAACCAGCAATATTGCAAGGCATAGTCTCCAAAAGATCAGAAACTATTTTGAAGCTCTCAGAAGAAAGCCGAAAGACCTTATTGTACAGGTGGTCTTTTCATTTCTTTGTTGTACGATGCAGCCCAGGAAGAGAGAGAAAAATAGTAGAGGCGAATAACTGACTCCACAGATGGTGTCAGGAAGAACAATTCGGCTTCCTGGTCCATGGTCTGCTTTTCCAGGAAGATGAGCTGCTGGCATGGGATGGGTTGTTCTTCACAGAAGTAGGAAGGGATATTTTTCCTCAGAGACTAGTGATCCTGATCAGGTGGACTTTAAACTAGGTTGTGTGGGGACGGGTGACAATATCCTTGGGAACAGTAGTATATCATCATCATCATCATCATCATCATCATCAACATCACTTTATTTCTTAATTAGTCGCTCTCTACCAAAGTTCTCCGAGCGACTTACAATTCAAAATAGCTTATACACAATATAAAACATTCAATATAAAAACATTCAACATAAAAACATTCAACATAAAAACATTCAGCAGTGACTATGGCAAAATTTGATCCGATTACTTAAATGCACAACCAAACAGCCAAGTCTTGAGCGCCTTTACAAAAGGTCGCAACTCCAACATTGCTCTAATATATGGAGGCAATGAGTTCCATAGAATTGGAGCATAGATCGGAAAAGCTCTACACCTTGTAGCTTCCAAATGTGCCTCCCTAGGACCCGGTATGTATAGGAGATTTTCCTGGGTGGATCGAGGTGACCACTGATGGGGAAAAGGAATGAGGCGGTCCCTAAGATATAAAGGTCCTTGGCCATTTTGAGCTCTAAATGTCAGGATCAGTATCTTGTAAGAGATCCGATGTTCTATTGGTAGCCAATGCAGTTGTTGCAGAATCGGTGTAATATGGGATCTTATAGATGATCCCGCTAGCAGCCTGCCTGCCGCATTTTGGACCATCCGAATCTTCTGGGTCGTTGACTTTGGAAGGCCAACATATAAGGCATTGCAATAGTCCAACCTAGTGGTGACTGTTGCGTGGATTACCGTTGCCAATGCTTCTACCGAAAGGTAGGATGCCAATTTCCTTGCCTGGAGAGGCCCAGAGTGAACAGGCAATTTCCTCGCCAGGCAATTTCCTTGCCTGGTGAGGCCCAGAGTGAACAGCCAAAAGGCTAAAGAGAGGATTGGACAAACACAACAAGTATCAAGCAGTGAGAGGAAAAAAATCTCAATTGAAGTTGATTTGAAGGCAAATACCAACAATCAATGTTGAATGCTTTTAGTTTATCCATTCTTCTAGGAAATTGTATTCTCATAGCATTTTGCGTTACAAACTTTATCCCATTCATCCTCACAATAAATCTGTTGGGTAGGATAGACGGCGAATGATTTCTACAATGCAAGTTGAAGTTTGAAAGCGCGTTTCTGATATTGAAGCTTCATTTTTCTAACTAACGTGGTGTTGACCCAAATATGGTTGTTTGTATTATCACTGTAAGGCATTTGGATAATTTTCATCTATGTATGATGCTTGGTGCTCTGTATGTGTTGGTATGGCTTCCTTTTAAATAGTTGTGCATGTTGATGGGAATTGATGAAATTCAAAATATACAGGGGATGTAAAAATAAAACTGCTGGCAATTTAAAAGTATTAATAGTAGTTAGATAAAATAGAATAATCAGATGTTAAACAACATGTAGTATTTACTGGTGCTGAATCTTTCTCTGACAGTTTCTAAAACAACAGTTATTGCTTTGTTACAGTTGTGTTTTTGTTCAAGCCATTTTGGAAAATTCTAATTTTGATTTCTTATTTCTTACCCTCCTCTAGGTCACTTGATAACAGGATTCATATTTGCCCTTCAGCCAAGCTTTACTACAACATGCCTCAGATTCCATATTTATACAACATCTGCAAGCGTATTCTTTTTCACAGTTTTAGTAAATGTAGTTCAAATTGTTTAAATAGATGCATCCAAAACATACACTCTTCATTAGCCAGTAAATGTGAAGCTCAAGAAAAATCACTACCTTTGTATGATAATGAAAACTTGCTACATAGAGCAGACAGTGAGAACGATCAACAATTGCATATACCAGTTATGGTAAAGGAGGTTGTGAATTTTTTAGCACCACAGAAAGGACAGGTAAGTTGGATTTTATTTTCAGAGTTTGTCTTTTAAATAATGTCTAGTTATTCTTAAAATCTTGAGAAAAATATTACCAAGAAATAAAACTGGTTTGATGGGCGGATTTGCACACAATCCTCCTCCCAACCCTAATTTATGAGACATTCTTCTGAGGTAAGGTTGCATGCTACTTACCGTACCTTTTTGATGCCAGGTACAGACTATTATTATCAAAATTTTAAAACATATTGTAATTTTTTATCATTCTCTGGGTAGGATGGTTTTAATCTTAAGATGTGCAGTTGGTTTCTTGTCAACTTGGGCATGTTTACTCAGAAATAAGCTCTGGGGTTTTTACTTTCATATGAGTATATGGTATAAGTCAGACTGTATGTGCAATTTCATAATGAAACAAAAACCACTTATTTTTAGAATTATTTCCATAATTTTCCCATTGAACTACATAGAATATAGACATCTAATTTTGGGGTTAGATAAAATTTCATGTTTCTCTTCTGGCTTATCTTTACTAAAATACATCACTTAAAATCATCCAGCCAGTTTACTGTATTGACTCACAAAAGTTTACTTTATAGACTCATGTAGAAGTCGATTTCCTGTATTAGGTTAGTTTTTTGGGGGGCCTGTGGATAAATTGAGGGCCAGTCAGTGTAGAGGGGAAGATACCAGTGCCGTCTCTGGGTGCCACCATAGTTATTTCTCCAGGCAAGGGCAGGAGCAGACAACCATGACAGACAACAGAAGGGCTCAATTCTAGTTTTAGGTTTTCAGAACATTAGAGTTCAGAGCAGCTATGAAGGACATTTTTGACTATATGTGATACCAGGAAATGCCATATGCTTTCTGTCATCTACTCAGCACCATTGACTTGCATGTTCTCACCAGTACAGTGAGTCACGAGTGCTGATTACATATTTTACTGTCAGTTATTTTCATAACTTTTGAATGGTTTGAGATATTTTAGTGACACTTTTTTCAAATGATGGCTACCACTGGGAAAGCATTCCTACCCTTTCAGTTTGATATATGACTGTTTTTCCATCTTCTTCCTTATTTGCTTTATTGGATTCATATCCCATTTTTTGCTTAAAATGGGTTTTGTTGGCTTGGGAGATGGGTAGTATGGTATTTTCCAAAGTATGATTCTTGAGTTGCTTGTCAACTTTGAATGTCTGGAAAAATATTTCACAAATTCTTAACATCATACTTTACTTGGCTATTACAGTTGTTCACTGAAGACTTTTTAAAACATAGAATAATATGATTCTATCTTTATGATAAAGATGGAACTTCCAAGTTCTAACTTCCAAATTCAATCCATGGGTTAATTTCTTTCAATATAATTCAGCACTGTCTTTTTCAAACGTGGAAAGTGCTATGTGATAGGACCTGTAAGGCCTTTACAGTTTCAAAATGGCATTTGGGCAAGAGGGTTTTTTTGCCTTTTTGACCAAAAGAGATCCTGTTGAGAAATACATTTCAGATGATGTGAGATTATTTGTCTTTGAAATAGACATTAGCTCTCTCCTCGTCCTTAGCTCTTACCTGTGGGAAAACTGTCACTGGCTGCAAACAATGTTTTTTTGATGCAAACTCTTCAAGTATCCATCCATTTCTTTATAATCCTCCCCACATCTGTTTTGTAATGTATTCTCTGAAGTACATTGTGTGAATGAGTCACCTCCTCTTTAGTTCATTTTCTTTTCAGCAAAGTGCCAGTTGCAGCAAATCCACAGAAATTTATATCCTCTAAAACTTGCTTATTTTAGTGCATTTTGTTCCATCAAAGTTTTTGTACTGGTGAGCCCATAGGTTCTGAAACTTTTTATTAAGCTCTTTTTATAAGTATGTCACTGTTAGTTGTAGAGCCCAGATCATTCTAATATATTATTCCTAAATTCAATTCTTTTGCTCATTTTCAGTCATTGAGAGGATCCTGTAGTTAAATTGCTGCAGATCTTCTTTTTCCATTATAACAGATGCATAAATGGACAGATAAATAAGTGAAGGAGAACTGCAATAAATGATGAAGTGTAGGAGTGGTGGAGGTGAAAAAAAAAAGACTGGAAATTTTGGTCTTAAGATGTATAGACTATGCAATGAGATACTGAGGACACTTAGCCATTATTTATTTCACCTCTAGCATCAATGTGAACAGAATCTAGTAGGCCTGGGTAACAAGGCAAAAATTTGTTTCTAAAATCGATTTGTAATTGGGGTGTTTTTTTGTTTCGATATTTAAAATAATTACAAAATTTTCCCTTAAAAAAGTTCGGTATTTACGAAATTTCGTAAATATTTACGAATCGATTCGTTAAGATGGCGGACCCCCGCGCATGCGCAAAATCACTTCCAAAGCTTCGTTATTGGCGCGGGGTTGATTCGTTAAGGTTATAACGAATCGATTCGTTAAAACGACGAACGCGATTGCGCATGCGCAAAAGCGACTTCCGAAACTTCGTTATTAAATACGAATCGATTCGCTATTAAAATAATAACGAATTGATTCGTTAAAATGGCGGACGCGACTGCGCAATGCTATAAACAAAATCATTTCATAAAATAAATCAAATAAAATAATCAAATAGAACAAGATATTAAGATATTAAATAAAAAAGTAATAAGATAAAGTATCCAAAACTGAGTCAATTTAATAATATAATGAAATAAACAATAATATAAAAATAAAATTTAAATAAATAAAATATAAATAATAATAATAATAATAATAACAATAAATAATATAAAATTATATAATATATACAATATAAAATAAAATAATATAATATAATAATATATTATTATATATATTATATAAATGAAATAAATAATAATATAAATATTTAAATAAAATATAATTAAATTTATAAAATATTTATAAAATATAATGATAAATAATAATAAAAATAATATATAAAATTAAATTATAAATTATTAATATATAAAAATAATGTTATTATAAAAACTTAGAAAGTAAATATAAGAAATAAATAAAGAAAAAGTAACAAAAAGTAACAGAAATTGCACTTTGAAAAAACTCTGAAAATTATCTGGGAAGTATTGCATACATACTAATTTCTGTAGCAGTATTGCAAGTTAAGTAAGAAGGACCAACTTCACATTTGGGGGTGGTGTATCTTAATGTGCATCCTTAGCCCTGTTGTGGCAAGATGCCTCATATCTTTTCCTCTGCTGACGCTCACACCGCAATGCCTGCAAACTGCCAAAGTGGCCCTCTCATTATGGACGTCGTAATGATCCCATAGGAGCGATCTCGGCCTACCCCTACTAGGCACTTCAGATGTACTCATGCTCGTGTTTGGACTGTCGGTGTTTGTGGAAGGGAGTATAATCGTTGGTTGTTTCTGTAGCTCGCCCTCCATCAGCATGCAGTCCTCTTGATCACTAATTCCTGTGGCACATTCCATCTTGTCTTCCTCCCATTCCTCTGACACGTCCGCCTCCTCGCCCTCCTCTTCATAACAAGTAATATCAGAGGTACTTGGAACGACATCAGGATCTGAACGTAGAGTCTTTCGAACTGATGAAGAAGAAGGTTCTGCCATCTCACAGCTGGTTGAAGCATCTGTGGGTGTTTCAATAACCATCTCGTTGGATGAATGTTCCCTTCTTGTCAATGTGTTCATCTTCAGTCCCCTGCCTTTCTTCGGTATTCGCGATAGCACTTGGCCCTTGCGACTAGAAAAGCCGGGAAGGAAGCGTTTCATCACACTGGTTGGAACTACACAAATAATGAGCAAAAGGAGCACACTGGTTGGAACTACACAAATGAGCGAGCACTGTATTATAGCACTTTGTGTTGGCAAAAGGAGCGCACTGGTTGGAACTACACAAATGATGAGCGAGCAGTGTATGTAGCACTTTGTGTTGGCAAAAGGAGCGCACTGGTTGGAACTACACAAATGAGCGAGCACTGTATTATAGCACTTTGTGTTGGCAAAAGGAGCGCACTGGTTGGAACTACACAAATGATGAGCGAGCAGTGTATGTAGCACTTTGTGTTGGCAAAAGGAGCGCACTGGTTGGAACTACACAAATGACAAACGCACACACAGCCACCGAAGACTCTTTTATTTTTTTAGAATATTTTTTGTATTTTTTTTTAAGAATAAAAGACAGGTATTTTTAAAAAATATTCAGAAATGGAAACTTAACCAAATGCTCTCCCCGCAGTGGAGCCAACAGCCACAAGACGGGGGAAACGCACACACAGGCAGGCACACAAGATTCTTTTCTTTTTTAGAATATTTATTGATTTTTTTTGAGAATAAAAGACAGGTATTTTTAAAAAATATTCAGAAATGGAAAATTAACCAAAACTGGCCCTGATGTGGACCAAACACAGCCACGAGACAGGGCAAATGAGAGCACACAGAAACAGAAGAGTCTTTTCTTTTTTTAGAATATTTTTTGTTTTTTTTTAAGAATAAAAGACAGGTATTTTTAGAAAATATTCAAAAATGGAAAATTAACCAAAAACTGGCCCTGATATGAAGCAAACACAGCCACGAGACAGGGCAAACGAGAGCACACACCAACAGAAGAGTCTTTTTTTTTTAGAATATTTTTTGTATTTTTTTAAGAATAAAAGACAGGTATTTTTAAAAAATATTCAGAAATGGAAAATTAACCAAAAACTGGCCCTGATGTGGACCAAACACAGCCACGAGACAGGGCAAATGAGAGCACACAGCAACAGAAGAGTCTTTTCTTTTTTTAGAGAGTATTTTTTGTTTTTTTTTAAGAATAAAAGACAGGTATTTTTAAAAAATATTCAGAAATGGAAAATTAACCAAAAACTGGCCCTGATGTGGACCAAACACAGCCACGAGACAGGGCAAACGAGAGCACACACCAACAGAATAGTCTTTTTTTTTTAGAATATTTTTTGTATTTTTTTAAGAATAAAGACAGGTATTTTTAGAAAATATTCAGAAATGGAAAATTAACCAAAAACTGGCCCTGATGTGGACCAA